TGAATTATGCTTAGGGCTGCTGGTCTCCAGCTCTGCTACGGACATATCCAGCCATGGATGCCCTGGATCCTGACCTGCACACTGACCACCTGGCTTGACCTCAGCCCATCCCCATGGAGGTGCCTGATGCTGTGGGATGTGTACTGGCTGTAGAAACCCACGTGCTTCCAGTCCCCCTGGGGATTTTCTGTGGGTTCCAGCCCCCAGGCTGCTACATAGTTACTTGATATTAATTATTTGATATTGTGTAGAGAGGAAAATACTGGCAGGAAGAAGGAGTCGTGGATGAAGAGTAAATGTGCTGACTTTTACAAAATTCTAAATAGATTACGTATCATAGACTTAGGAGGAGGTCCTATTTCTCCTAAGCCACAGCAGTAACTTACTTCCAGGAACAAGAGATAAATTTGTGTCTGTTCCTCCATTCTCTACACCTGCATTTGAGAGGTGGGGTTGGAATATTTAATGTCTTTATAAACTACAAAACTGCTTTTTCTGATTTGTGCTTTTTTTTTTTTTTTTTTTTTGCGGGGGGGGGGGAATGTTAGGGTTTTTTGTTTTTCAGTCCTTCAAATCTACTTTTTGTTCCTCTGGCACCTGAGATTTCCCAGCCTGTTGTGTACTGTCAGCAAGGTACATTAAGTTAATTCCCTCCCCTTGGAGGAGAAAGATTGCAGCACTCACCTGTGCCCTGGTAAAATCCTCAGTGGTTTTGAAGGGAATGTTTTTTGAGTGAGCTGTAGCCAGCAGTTCTCATCTCTCTGTGTCTTTCTAAAGCTAGGAAAATCTTCTCACAGTGCAGCTACGTCCTCCAAGACCTCTTTCTTGTGCTTGGACCTTCCCTGCTGTGTCAACATCACCTGCATTTATCACTGATGAGGAACTACTGTAGGGTAGAGTTGGATGCATTCAATGAAAGGTCAGAGATAATGTGCAGATAAGCCCTGACCTATGTTTTGTGCTGGTCCAAGTTGTCTAGAAAACATTCTGGAGAAATCAGTTTGGTCTCTTGAGTGCATCCACTGAGTATGATCTCTCTAGATATGATAATATGTTGACTGCATAAGCTTTTCAGTATCAGCATTTATGCAGGCAGACCTTCTTGCTAATACATTAATCCTGCTGCACAGTTCCACAATCATTAAATAAATAAAATGTGCCTTGAGGCCAAATCAAGATGGTTCATTTAAGGCAGTCAAACCACAGCATTTAGATTCTAAGGTGACATGGGCTATACCATCTTCGATTAATTTCTTAACATAACACTAAATTTGGAAATGTTGCAATGTGGGGTTTCTTTTCAAGTAGGGGATGCAAAGCCACAATATTTCATTCACTAAAAATAACCATGTGTGATTCCCTGCAAAGGGAATTGTGCTGAGATTTGCACCTGTCAGCTCTTAATTTCATACTGTGATTCTTTTGAGTCCTCTATCTCTGTGCAGAAGTGAGAAAGAGCTTTACTGAACTATAAGCTGGACAGTCTTTATCTCCTTTGCAAATCACTTGTGTATATTATTTTTCCTGTGCAGACAATAATTTTGAACATATAGCGTTTGTTATAATTTCCCCTGGAAATTCAGCTTGATTTGCTGTAGAGCTGCATATTTATGGAGAGCTCATGTGCTCTGTTACAGATGGGGTGAGCTTATGGCATTTACAGTACAGCAAGCATGTTCGAACCAGCTCTGCAAGGGCTCATGGAGAGAGCAGTGAAGCTGATGTAACAGACTGCCTTCCTTGCAGCTGTCATATTTATTTGCAAAAGATATGGTTTCAATTTTCTGTATAAACACTCACTGGTCTCTCAGATAGAACCCTTGCTCAGATAAATGTGTTTGATCACTTTTTTTTTTTTTTTTTTTTAAATGCTTGAGGGAGCTTGGATTGTGAAGTAGCAGAAATAAAGCAGAATATTCTGAGGAAATACAGCAGCAAGATCTCCTGTACAAGAACAGGTTGCTCACCAGTAAACTGAGCTAAGATACTCAGCTCTGTTGCAGATTGTGCTTCTGTGACAAATGCTGCTCATCCAACATTACACACCTTTACCTACTTCAGACAGAAACTGGGAGAGCAAGGTAAGTTACAGCAGGTTTCCACGTTGCAGGTTACTTTGTCTTTCTGCCAGACAAAGCTCTTCCTCCCCTCTGTGGAGAGCTAGAAGAAATACAGCTCTTCCTTTATCTCATGCCTGGTGCTGCTTTTCAGGAAAGGCTGGACAAAGACGATCTGCACCCACAGTCCAAGCTGTCCCTCGTACCCTCCATGGCTACCCCATGGTTAAGGACCATTTTGCCTCACATGAGTGATTTAGCTGTCAGCATGTTTCTGCCCAAGGGGAGATAAGTGCTGACTCCCCTGGGGTGGCATGTGACAAATGAAACCAAACCTCAGCGTTTAAAGAAAAGGATTGTTCCAGATGTGTAGGGTAGAAGGGCAAAAGGACGAGCTGAGCTTTGAAGATGAAATAGAAACAACATAGAGCAAAGAAGTGTTATAAAAGTGGTTGCTTTCAGCTAATATTGGATGGAGGTGATTTTGTGCTTTGACACTGAGTTGCTCAGGTAGTTAATGATAAATTCTTGAGTCTTTGGCTGTGTTTAAAATTATATTGCACACCTCCAAGGGCTTTTCACGCAGGTAAATGAGAAATGGAACTTTTGTGAAATTGAGGAGACAGTAATCTTTTCTGTTTGCATTAAACCCCTTTTTAGTATAAGGTCATATAGACGTTCTACTGGAGAGGATCCCTGGTCATTTCGTATCATCAATTTATCATGCAGGGCTCTCTCTGCATCCTGTGGGCTTGACTCATCCTGACTCAGCACAAATACTGAGTCAGCAGGAGCAGGTGAGCAGGAAAATCTGAGGAAAGGATGCCTGCAGGGAGGAAAATGCCAGCAATATTCTTTTGACTTTGCTCACCATAAGCCCTTCCAGCTGGGGAAGTGGTTTCTTTTCCTCAGGCCTGAAGGGGGAAGCAAACTAGAGACAGAAGGAGTCAACTGTGATCCCATTCTTGGTCTCTAATCCTTGCTCCAGGCTCTGTAGCATTATGGCCTCAAGGCAGCTAATAAAGGGATATTTAGGCTTCCAGCCACACTGTGAAAGGTATTTAATTTGAATTGTTGCCTGTGACCTGTGTTTTTGGGTTATCTAATCAGGAAAAAAAAACAAAACTACCTTTTCCCAAAGATGAAACCACTGAAATGAAAGGGAAGATGAAGGAAATAATTCACCTTCTAAAGCAAAAGGAACTAGTGGCATTATACAGGAGGAGTCTACAATCTCCTCAGTCCATCAAACATCATTTTAAGGCTTATGGGAAATGAAGGGAGCCTTCATATATAACTCAGAATACAGCTAGATCGTCTCCTCTCTGGGAATGCATCTTCATTCCAAGTTCTGGAAGTAGTAGGCAAATTCTCTACTTTAAATGTGGCACAAGCTTTTTTGATCACTTTTTAATGGTAAATTTTTACTTTTAGCTCCGAAGAGCATGAAGCTTTTATTAGCTCTGTGTGAGTTTCTATCTCTAATAATTTTAAAATCTGTTTGTTGACTTCAAGTACACTTGACAGCCAGAGAATTGGAAAGCATATATGGAGTCCTTGATTTGCAAAGTGCCTAATGGATGATTGGTTAGGTCAGCAACAGGACCTTTAAGCAGTCAGATCCTCACAATAGCATGATTTACATGAGCAAAGGAACAATTTACTGAGATTGTAGGTTTTAGAAACCCCAAACGATGTAGTGGTACATGAAATCATCACAAAAAGGTGTGCTTTGGACAGAATGCACTCCAAAGTGTTTCCCCTGAGATAAGTGGTGCAGACAGATGCTCTGCCTGCAGAGAGACTGGAAGTGTAATTTGAGCAACAACTAGTTGAGAAAGGTCTGGAAAGGAAAATCTCTATTCAGACAGTGGGGAGAAACAGTTGGGATAGTAAAGCACTAATGTAGATAATCAAGGAAGGAGTGGAGTCTCGTCTGTGGGAGAACCACTACATAGGCATCAGTGAGGAATGTCTAGAAAAGGTCTCTGAGGGCTCTGCTAACCCTCTGATCCTCTGTCACAGAGCTTGTCAAACTTCTGTGTACTTCCGAGTAAAGGCTGAGACACACAGAGCCAAATGGACAACCGGAATTTCTGTCTGAAAAAAGTCCCTGTTTGGGGATCTTCACAAGTGGCAGAGGTGACAGATGGAGTCACCCTGGGCTCAACCCTCATCTGAATGGGCTTAGCTGCAAAAGTGATTTGTAGTCTTGTGCTTGGGAGAACACTTGGCAATGAAGCATTTTCCTTATTGGCTCCCATACATCCCCACTCCCTTCTGTATGGGGAAGAGGGATTGTGACTCTGATATATATAAAAAAATTATGGATTTGCCTTGTCTTTTCCCAAATATAGCCAAAGGAGCTCTGCAGCAAGTAAGAGATGCTTGTAGAAAGTGACACTTTGCGGTCGGTGCTTTATATAATGCTCTGGTCTAATCCATTTACGCCTGTTTGACAGCTGACCTCTCTGGGAGGCCTCAGCACCGACCTCCAAAACTGATCAAGTCTGACAAACACATTTCCTGTGTCAGCAGAGGGTGCATCCTCACTGACCAGGCGAGGACCCTCCAACTCGCTGGCAGACTCCACATGCTCACCTGCTGGGAATGAGATTTTGAGGAGAGGATGACGTGAGAGCACTGGTGAGTTGGAAACCTGTCTCTGAGATACTTTGGGCACACACTGCAGCAGCACAGTACACTGTTTTTGTTTTGGCAGAGTTCATGTATTTGCAGAGCGGGCCTGAGCACCAAAGTGCTTATTTAATTTCCCAGGATTCTGTCATCGAGGCTGGCCGCGTTTGATACGATGGAGTGTTTTGTCAGGCTGCTGCCTGTGCCGTCAGAGGCAGGCTATAAATACACACGTGCTTCTTGCATTTCCCTATCTCTCTTGGTCTGTAAGAGGAAATGGGCTTGTGATTAGCAGTCAGAGGAACTTGTGAAATGACACAGCTGTACTGTAAAAACGCCCCAGCCCACAGACTGTGCTGCCAGAGGAACTTTAACTGTTAGAGAGCAGGATTGCCCAAGACATGGAGCGAGAACCGACGCGCATAAGGGAAGGCTACTTGGTTAAGAAGGTAAGTGGGCAGTTTTGGGCTGAGTGGAAGAGAAAACTAACTCTGAACAGGCTGGGGAGGTGTAGGGAAACATGCTGTGAAAGTCTGGCAAAACAGGTAACAGCTGGAAATAGCCACAGCCTACTTTATTGCACTTAACTGAGTTAAACATCAAGGAGGAATAGTGAGATTAGAGAGGCTGGATCACCTTGGCCTGGAGACAGTGCATGGGGTCATGGGCACATCCCTTCTTTGGGAAGGCAGTTGCTGCCCCACTGCTCTGTAGTCTTTTGTGGTACAGCCCATAGGATAAAGCCTTAATTTTTATTGAAATTGGCAGTGGCTTCCACTGGCAGAGCATGTCAGAGTCCAGCCTTCAGGAAGTACTGGACTTGTCTGGTTATGAGCAGAAATATTGTAACCTGTGGTAAACCCACAAACAAGAGGAATTCTCAACAGTTCTTGTCTTGTCATTTTAATTGATTTTTTTAACAGAAAATCAACCCAGTGGGTAAATTTAGACTCTCAAAAATGGTAAATTTTTATGGCTTATTAAAAAAAAAAAAAAGAAAAATAATCAAAGGAAAACAGCACTCAACCCACATGTGGTACCCAGATGAAACTCCTTTTTGTTGTTTCTCCCTTCAACTGAGTTTTGAGAGAACACCCAGAACAGCAACTTTTCTTTGTGAGGCATCTTCTGCTTCCAGTGAGGGCTGCAGAGGCTGGAAGAAGGTCCGGGTCCTACTTTTAATAAGATCTTAGCTGATTATTTTCCATCCCTACCCTGTAATTGAATGTAAGGTCTGATTCAGAGTGAAAAAGGCTTCTCATGGAAGGTAGAACAGAAAAAAAGGGTGTGATAAGCAACAGGTTCATTTGGAGAATAAATCAAAAACGACTTGGTGTGTCTCTATCCCATTCACTCCTGCAGAAATACAAAATGCAGATGTAAATAACTCTGTCCAGCTCTCAGTTTTAAGAAATCATAACAAGCTGTTTGCATAGCACAACACTGGCTGCCTGGTTTCTACATCCAGCTTTAGCACTGCTCAGACACCATGGCCTGAGTAGGACAGGGATGCTGTGAATGGAGATGTGGCAGACAGAAGATAAACTTGGGTCTCTCCTTGTAACAGAAAGAGCAAGGGGAGCTAATATTTTTGATGAATGGCCTGTGTTTTGGGGCCCACCAATGCTAGTTGTGCTTTGGTTAAGTCTTCAGGGGAACTGTTGGTTTTCAGAATATCTAAATGTTCATTTGGCTGAGCACTAAGTCACCTGGGTATCTGGAACTGTGACCGCTGTTGAAGCTGGCTGCAGGCAGGACCAGAGAGGTTGTGTGGCTGGAGTGCAAAAGTCTTAGTAATTCTAGCAGTAAACTGTGCTCAACACAGAGAAACAGGTTGTTTCAGTCTCTGAGAGTTCTGCTGTGTGTTTCACTCTATGTAGAGTCCAGACCTGTCTTTATTTCTGTATTTCTTGCACCTAACAGCTGTGTTTCAGGAATAGGAAGCAAAAGCTTTAAAAGATGAAATGAAGCCCTTCCGTTCCTCACCACTGCAGTTGGAGGTCTGAGGCCTCAGGCCCTTAAACTACTCATTACCCTTACAGTTTGTTCTTAAATGGCTAGAAATCCTCTGGGATGTGTGCTTTCTTATCAGACAGCCAAGCCTCAATGACTGACTATTGTAGCATCAAGTCCTAAATACAGCACAGTATGCTTGCAGTCCTAATGTGCCAGTTCACATTTAGAAATTTTGAGGGTTGTTCATAGTACATCATCTTGACCACAGTGGCTGGGGCTAATTGATACTGATGACAAACATCTGCAATGCAATTTTGGAAAAACTCGTGTCTGGGGTGACTGCAAGGGGAAATTAGTGGTGGTAAGAGGGATAATAACATTTATCTTCATGTAAGATGGGTGTGGTTGTGGTACGTTTCCCTTGAGACACTGACTGTAGTTACTTCAGCATCAGCCAGACACTTCCTGGGAGGTCATATCTTCATTGGATATCATGTGAAGAGTGATTAATTGAACATAATATGCACAGTGATTTATTGTTGCAGGGCAGCATGTTTAATACCTGGAAGCCGATGTGGGTCGTGCTCTTAGAAGATGGAATTGAATTCTACAAAAGGAAGGCTGACAGCAGTCCCAAAGGGATGATCCCACTGAAAGGGAGTTCTATAAATAGCCCATGCCAAGATTTTGGCAGAAGAATGGTAAGTATGTATTTTGTGACAAGGTTTGACAGTATATTTATGCCCCTGGAGGCACTGAGGGGGCAAAAGGCTGGTGGTCACAAATTCCTTGCACTCATCCCAGTGGTGACTCTCACTTGTCTCAGAAAGTCACAAGCAGGCTTGGACTTGTGTAGTGCTCGACTTGAAGGCAATTCAAGAGGACTGATTCAGAAAGTATTGGGTGTTTTTTATTATTTTGGATTTTTTTTTCAATCTCTGGGTCTGTCAGAGAGCAGAGCTAATTTTTATTGGTGTGAGGACACTTTGCAGCTGGATGTCAACAAATTTCTGTATTAAATATAAATCAAACTGCCACAGAATAAAGCTGTGGGAAACCATTTCATGAGCAGTGGAAGCATTTATTGTCCAGGAGCAACAACTGGCTTGCTTAGACAGGAAGGAGATAAATGCTGTGACACACATATTTTGCTATAGGCTTCCTGAAAAATAGTCATCGGTAAAACGGGATTTCTAGTATGAACAAAGAATCATACCTTTAGTCAGTAATTTGTTATTTTGTCAACTTGATTTCATCAAATAGGCATTACATCCTCAGGAATTCCTCTGACAAAGGGGTTCCCCAGAATCTGGAAAATTATCCAATTGCAGTTTAAAGCAATTTACTATACGGATGCCTCAGTGAAGATAGAAGTCTCTGACAGCATTAGAAAAATAGGAAAAGAAATCTGAGAGATTGCATGAAACAGCAAACTTCACTTCTCATTTAAGTTGAGAGAGGAGAATTAGACCTGTCCTTAGGTTTTGTGATAAGTGGAATCAGTCGTGTCAGATTTGAACCTGCTGGCTTTCCTTTTGCCCTCTTTTCTTTCTTCAACTTATTTCTTTTTTTTTCTTTGTGCAGAACTCATATTTATATGAAAAACCCCACCTTGATTCTTACTGAGTCTCATCCATTGAGAGAAAGGGACTCTTAAGTTATACTGAGGTAGTACAAGAAAAGGATGGCACAGAGAATAAAGATTGCTGTTAATCCTGTGCTAATTATCTAATTAACAACCCTCAGCACAGCACTCCTTACTCTATACATGATGTATGAGGCATGGGGAGAGGGGTACTATGTTCAAGAGTATCACATATCCTACATTGTAATGGGAGAAATTAAGTTTTTCTCAGAAACCATTCATTTCCAAACAATTTTGTCTGAGGTTTTGTTTTTTTCCTTTAACTCCCAGAAAGGCACAGCCATCAGTACTGGTCCATAATAGTTGCTTGGAAATGTCACTAACAGTAACACACTAAACAATAAAGGAAAAATAATTCACCAGCATATGTGCATTCCATAAAATAGGCAGAGAGGTCTGAAGTATCCAATGTCTGCTGAAGGCAAAGAGAGAGAGATCCTCAGCTGCCCAAAGGGCTGCTGATGTACCAGTCTGCAGAAGATGCATTTCATCTGTGTGGAAAAGTGACAAAGTCTTTGAGGATCATTCCTTTGGCTGCAATGAGTTTAACGTTATGCTTCATTTGACATTATAAGTTCACCTAATGAGCTTTACATTGTGTTTCATTTTAGTTGCTGGGGTCTTTTCTGAGGGAGAATAAAGGCAAAAGGAAGAATCTGAGGCTGAGGCACCTGAAATACCTTTTCATAAGTAAGATCTGATGAAGGATTTGCTGAAGTCAGTGGGAACAATCCAAACAACTTCAGCAGGTGTCAGAGCAGATCCTCCTTATGGAGTTAGTGATGTTTTTCAGAAGTCCACAGACCAATAGCCCTGGAGATGTATTTTCTCTTAAAATTTGCATCACTCAAACAGTCAAAACTTCAGCATGCTTATTCACATGAGCAAAGCCATTGCTGGGATTGTTCTTGAGAACATCTACATATATTCTTCTTCTACATATATTTCTTGAAAACAAAGTATCTTCATTTTTGCATCTTACAGTTTGCAGCTTTACTGTACAGCTGAATCCAGTGCCTCTGCATTCCATCCTGGCTTCTCATTGGTTATGTGGTCAAAGCATACAGTTATTCCTCTTATGGGAATAATTCTGATTCTTAGGTGGTTTCCATACATTGATTTCACATGGCTAAAAATGAAAGTGTATTTTTAAGACAGGAGTTCTGTCAGGCAAAAAGTGGGATAATTTTCATTAGGTAGGCTTTAAGTCTAGTCTCACTTGGGCCCAGTTTGGAGCATGGACTATTGGGCCACGAGCTGACTTTTATATTTCTCTGGTTAGATTTCAGTTTTATGAATCAGCTTGTGTACCTGCACCAGAGCCTCACTTGAAAGCTCAGAGCACATCACCAACATGCCCTTGTTTAGTAAATCAGCTGCAAAATGTAGGTGCTGAGGGGAAAAGAAGCAATGCTGGATTTGTTAAGCAGAGATAAAGCCTGTCCAGAAGAGGCTGCAACTCCATATTTTGAGACTATATTTCAAAATGTGTTCACCACTGTTCACTATTTTTGATTTGGTGTTTTATCATTGCTTAACGTAATGTTAATTCTGCTATACTTCAGGTTTTTCTGTTTTCCCCATGGCTTTTCTTTGGATAGAGTTATCCTGTATGGTCTAATTTTCTGACAAGTGCAAACACATACATATCATCAGAGAGAGGCGTGGTCACTTCTAGGATAGGAGACTCAACCTCTTCACCAGTTTCAGAAGAAGCCTGAAAGTCCAGCTTACTGGCCTGGCTTTCTGGAAGCTAAAGTTAAGAGAAAGGGCTTTCCCAGTCTCCTCTGTGTACTGGAAATTAAAACTCTCCTTTAGCGTTTCACTGTAAGTTATTTCTGAGCCTCTTGAGAAGGCTAATTTTTCTTCTGGTAAAAAATGTCTTAATGCTTCCACATTTCATTCCGTTAATCTGGTGTGTTAGCATGACTTGGATATTGGGATTTACAGAGATCTGTTTGCTTTTCTCATGAACATTGTTCTTCAGTATGTGGCTCTTTACTGCATAGTAGAAAAGACGGGTGTTGCTGGAAATCTGAGCACTGTCAGACAAAAAATGGTTACTTTTCTGTCTGAGTTGGATTTTTGACTAACCACTACTCTGTAAGTTTGAAAGCTCTTCCATGAAAGTCAGTTGGACTTATGCACAATTTCAGGGTGTCAGAATTTTTCCTGTTGTCCATAATCTGGAAGGTGCATGTTAGGGATGTTCAGAAATGTACCATTTACAAACGAGGGCTTCAGTAGGCTGATTCAGTGGGCTGGTTTTCTAGCACAACTACATAACAAATTAGTTTCACTTATGGGGGAACTATATTTTAGAAGTGGAAACCCTCTTGCCTGAATAATTAGAAATTAGATCTAGATTTTCCATCCAAAAAGATCACTGGATGGAAATGAGTTCAATCAGTGTGAACTTTATGGGGTAGTTTTTTCATTTGTTTGGGGTTTTTTTTCAGGTTGGTGTTATTTTTTCTCTTTACAACTACCTTTAAAAGATCTTTTCTCATTTTTGGGAAATACAGTCTTTTCATTGTTGGTAGTGTGTTTATAGGCAGTGATCCCAAGATCTAGCCAAGGGTTGGATGTATCATCTCTCTACTAAGCCCTTAAATGTTTTCTAGTCTGCAAATGTACTCAGCTACTCTCCAGTGTGACTGTGACCTTTTCTCTCCTTGTGAGTCAGTAGCTGAGCAACATGATGTGGGGTATTTTTCCTCCTTCAGACTGTTCACGTCTCTAAACACTAAGACAAATTTACACCCATTGTAACTCTGCAAGGGCTGAGTGCTTCAGCCTTTCAGCTGTGTCGAACTTCCCAGCAAAAGTTACAGTCAGCACCTTATCAATGCCACTCACCTTGGCTGTACTGGCAGTGTCAGGATCACTCCCATGGAAGTAATAAAAGGATTCAGTTACCTGCAGTGCTTGTTCATGTTTTTCTTCAGAGCTTTTATAGTTTAACTGTGGCTCTAAGGCACTTTCCATAGTCCCTCAGGCACAGGTAGGCTGTGTGTCATGGAGGTACTTGGTTAATCATGACCAACTGGCTACACCAAAGTAACTTTGTTTAAAAAAAACACGTAATTTATCATTTCAGTTTGTCTTCAAGCTCACTGCAGCCAAGCAGCAGGACCACTTCTTTCAAGCTGCCTACCTGGAGGAGAGAGATGCCTGGGTGCGGGATATCAAGAAAGCAATTCGCTGCATAGATGGGGGCCAAAGGTTTGCCAGAAAATCCACAAGAAAATCTATCAGACTGCCTGAAACAATCAACCTGAGGTTTGTTCTCGTAGCTCTGCTCCCCTGTGTACTTCCCTCTGCAGGCAGCTGGCAGATATGTGAATTAGGTCTGGAAGAGCCATGAGCGTGTCTGTCCATGATACCTCATGATTTCTGAAAGACTAAAAGTTTCAGTGTGTACAGTGGGGCAGAAATGACCCAGAAATCAGAACTGGGAAGCTCATTTTTAAAATGTCACCGTTTACCCAGAACATGATTATTTATCAAAGGATTTTGCTGATAAGGAGATTTCTGGGCACACTGCAGTGCAAGCAGAGACCCCCCAGCCAAGTGTGATTCTTCCAGGAGACGCATTTTTATACAATATATAATTTGTTCCAAAAATATTTTAGACCCTTTTGTTTGTTTTCCAGAGAAATGCTGATGTTGGCCTAGTTTTTGGATGGTAAGGGAAGTGCAGTGCCTGCCAGAGAACATGGAACTGGCAAAGGGAGAAGACAAGATAAAGGGCACACACAGGAAGCCATCTGTTAGTACTTTAAAAAGGGAAGGACAACTTATTTTCTGCCTCTGAGAAGTAAATACCAAGATACCAACAAACCTGCAGTGCTCCTTAAAAGACAGTAAAACTCTACAGGGCCAAGATCCAACTAAATCTGGCTTCACAGGTTTCATCACAGGACCAGGCCAAAGAACTTAGCCTGTAACATTTAATATTTGTCCTTCACTGATGTTACCTGTGGCCTCTGAGAGCATGAAGGCTTTGGGAATGTCACAGTGACAGGTTTTCTGCTCAGCTCAGGACCTTTGGGGGAAACACAGAGCACAGCAGTGAACTCTCCTGCTTGTGCTGAGGCCGTGGGCCCCTGGAAACGTGCCTCAGCAGTGGGTGTTCCTCTCTTCACAGTACAGTCACCACAAGCAGTTGCATTCTCAAAATAGGGGGATGTGGTGAGCCATTTGTGCCCTCCACCCTCTGCTCCCACAGCTGTGACAGTGATGTAGTGATACCTCCAGGCTTTTCAACTTGAATTTTTCAGGAGATGAAAATGAGCCATGCCCCAGCTCTGCAGGGAGCCATGTGCCAACCAAACACAAAGACCCCGTGAATGACAATGACGTTGTACAAACCGGCAAAACCTTTTTATTTGCTAACAGTTTCCGTGGTTCTTTTTACACACAGTGCTTTGTACACCTCAATGAAAGATCCTGAAAAGGGAATAAAAGAGTTGAAGCTGGAAAAAGATAAAAGAGTGTACAATCACTGCTTTACAGGTAAGGAGCTCTTGTCCCTCTTTTCCACACAATAAAGGGAGCACAGCACTGAGAAGCTAAAGATAGATGAAATAGCTCTAAGCTCTGTAGAACAAAGAAGTTGGGAAGAAAGTCTGGCAGATATGTTCTTGACAAACCCAGGAAGTGCTCAAAAGATGAATCTTGACAAAGTGCTCAGTTATGACCACGGTAAGCAATGGAATTTAACCAGTGTCAGGAAGATTGAGGTAAATCGTTTGAGTAGATTGTTGTGTGAAACACCGAACTCCGGAAGAATTATTCCATTCTGAATTTTTCATCACCAAACAGTGTCACATTGTAATTCCTGCTCTGCTCCAAGTCAAATCTATGGGTGTTCAAAAAACACACAGATGTAGCTCTTGGGGACATGGTTTAGTGGTGGACATGGCAGTGCTGGGTTAGTGGTTGGACTGATCATCTGGGAGGTCTTTCCCAACTTTAATGAGGCTGTACCTTGCTGGATGACCCAGGAACCTTCCCCTGTGTTGCTGCTAAGAACCTTTCTCAGGAGATTGATGCACAGACAGAGTAGGCTTGTTGCCTCTGTATTTTTAGACTTCTTCATGTCTGTCTTGGTTAGTGACTGATATTTTGTTGCTTTGTAACCAGGCACCTGTGTGATTGACTGGCTGGTGTCCAACAACTCTGTCAGAAACCGCAGAGAAGGTCTCCTGCTCGCCTCTTCCCTCCTGAGTGAAGGCTACCTCCAGCCTGCCGGGGATACATCCAAGGCTGCTGCTGAGGGGCTGTCAGACACCCCCTTCTTAGATCTCAGTGATGCCTACTATTACTTTGTGAGCATTGCATTCTGTGGCTTTTTTTTATTGTCTCAAGACTTTTCTCTGCTTTTCTCAGGCTTCCTGTTGGGCTTCTTAAACCCTGGAGGAAAGATTGTTCAGAAACGGAGAGATCCATGTTAATTGTGTTTGTGATGTTCAAAATGAGCTGGCTCACTTTAATAGTTGTATCTGGGACTTTTTTTTTTTTTTTTATAACACCTTTCTAAGTGCGAATTGAGTGCTGAGGCCAAGCTGGGTTCTTTTTAACTTAGACTCTGTTCCTGGTAATTGCACTGGTGGCCAGAATTTAACCATTGGTTTCCCTGATGATTCAGTGAAAGGGAAGAGTTATTCATTATCATGGGGCTTCACAGAGTGACACAAGCTACAAACCCATTTTTGTGCAGAGCCATCAAATCTGACTCCATGTGAGTGTGCACACACACGCAGTTTGCCTATGAGCAAAGAAGCAAAAATTTTTAATAACCCCCAGTAACACCTGTCCTTGTTATCATACCCAACCTTTTCCATTTATTGCTTCATATTCTGTGGGTTGATTTGAAGAGCTTGCAATGTCACAATCACAGTCAAATACTGTTTTAAAGACGTTTGGCTTATTGACTTAATGCTAACAAAAAAGTATGCCTTCTGTCAAGTAAAACCAAGTAAATTGATACTACAATTCTGTTTAAATGTACCACATAGAATCACTTGGCTTCAACAAAATGACTCTTCCTTTATTTCAATTATTTTCCTAGAATATGCCCGTGGTAGGGAGACTTTAGCTGTGCAGCAATGGAAGCAGAGCACTGCTGGTGAAGGCAGCCTTTTGGCCATCACAGTTTGTGATGGCATCCCATGTGTGCTCTGCTTGCTTTTGGGTTGTTTCTGGTGCCACAGTGATTTGGATTGCTCCTCAACTTCACTGGGAGGTTTTTCCAGTATAAGGGTTGATTTTTTTTCTCTTCTTTTTTCTTTCTTTCTTTTTTTTTTTTTTTTTTTTTTTTTGGTGGCAAAAAAACAGGGTGGAGGGAAGCCAAAGAGAAGCCATATTGGTACATGTATATAAGCATTCAGTGGCTTTGTAACTTCTGAATTTTCTCTTGTGCTCTTGCAGCCAGACAGTGGGTTTTTCTGCGAGGGATATTCCAGTGATGATGATGTGGTCCTGAAAGAGGAATTCAGAGGCACAATTGTCAAACAAGGATGTTTGCTGAAACAGGTCAGTATTGCCTGTGTTCCATCCTGTCACTAGGATGATGCTACATGGGTACAAGATTACTCTTTTACACCCAGAAGCTTTGGAAAGAAGAGGAACTACCCTATGTCATCTCCACAGTTGACAAGTTTCATCTCTGTCCCTCTGGCCTTTGCACAAAGAACACTTGCTGTAGCATGACAGCAGGATCCTTGCCCAGCATTGCAAGGTTTATTACTCTTACCACAAAATAAAACAATTGACAGCTTTAATTAGGAAAGAGTGCTAATGCAGGAGATGTGACAAGTCATTGGTATAATGCAAAACTGAACTTGGGTAAAAAGGCTGCCACTCCTGTGTCCCTCTGGACACACAACTGGATTCAGTTGCCAGTTTTCACAGGCTTTTTCAGCTGAGCAAAGGAGTTGCTTTCAAGCACATTTGATGTGTAAGACAGAAGATAACTGTATACCTTCCTTTCCAGCAAAACTTTGAGCAATCAGTGAATGTCATGGTAAATGTCTTACTTTCCGAGGCCATTGCAAGCAGATATTAGTGAACTGAAGGCAAAACCAGGATTCTTCAATGAATAGAATGGTTCAAGTGGAAGGGACTCTACAACAATCATCTGGTCCAACTGCCTGACCACTTCAGGACTGACCTGATGTATTACACTCCTTGAGCACCCTCTCTCTAAAAAAATATTTCCTAATATTGAATCTGAACCTTTGTTGTTAGAATAGTCCTCGAGGGCTTAAGAACCTTTTGATGGTGCTCATATGTATTTCTCTTGCTCAACCAGATTACCCAAAAGCAATGGAAGAAATTAGACCCACGTCTTGCTGTTCTTTCACTCTGTCACATTCTCATCTTCCTAGCTAGCAAGAGCTTCCTTGCAAACAGTGTAGCTAATGGAGAAACTGGTATTTTGAAATGCTGAGAGGAAGTGATTCACCAGTGTTAATCTGCATTTGGTCACCCTCAGTTGGTTGTGGGTCACTGCTTGGGAAGGTCACTGCTCCTGCTGAGAATGGTTTCAGCAGATCTAGGCTTTCCACACCCATCTTTTCAGTCTTGAAAACAGGCAGTTGGGCACCACGTCTATAGCAGAGAGTGGTGTTATTTCTGCTTGAGCTTCTCAGCCATGAGCCCTCCAGGGTGCTTAAGCCAGATAAGCATTTTTTGTTATTATCTTTGCAGGGAGAGAAGGACTTTCAGCTCATTCTTGCCAGTAGTTCAAGGTACCTTCCTGCAAGGCACTTAACAGCTGTTTTCTGGCAGGCATTTAAACCCAGTTCTCACAGACCTCATGTGAATGTTATAACTGCCAGACTCTATGATGTGTTTAAGGGAATCTCCCATGTTGAAGCTCTTCTGCTTTGTACAAAAAAAATAAATAAAAAGAGAACAGTGTGATAGTCCAGTTGTTGTGCAAAACACTGGAAGGTAGCAAAGCCAGGTTCAAGTCCTAGTCCAGTGAGTATTTCCTGTCCAAAATATTCAGCTTTTTTCCTTTTTGTATTTGCATGTTCTCTCATGTGTGGGTAAACTCTGTGTGCAGGCAAAGCAGTTAATGACATTCCTATTTTGGAATTTTCCTAGGGACATCGGAGGAAGAACTGGAAAGTGAGAAAGTTTGTTTTAAGAGATGATCCTGCATATCTTCACTACTATGATCCTGCTGGAGTAAGAGATACTTGGTTTATTTCCCTGTTTGTTTTAAAGCCAGTCCCTTATAGAAATATCTGAATGGAGTATTTATGTGGGAGTACCAGGCAGGACAGTGGGATTGTCTGTGCTCCTATGGGCTAGCCATTCTCTGAAAAAGCAGAGTGAAGGATGGTTCTGGGCTTCCAAGTCAGTGTGGCAAATGCCACCCAGACCTGGGGACAAGTAATACTGAACAGTACTCTCATCTCTTATCTGTGATTAATTAGAATTAATGTGTGCTCTCACTTGATCAAAACAAACTCAGTGCAAATGACCTCAAAACAGTAATTTTGCAGCTTATATTTGAGCAAATGTTGAGCAAATATCCTGTGTCAGGCTGAGACAGGGCATTCCATTCCTTGTGTAATTCTAGCAGGCCAAACCCTGCCCTAAGAAAGGATGAAGCAGTGCCATGGGCAAAGAGTGCCCCTCAAAAACTGGCATTCCTGTTGATTCAGCCCACAGGTTTTATCTCATCCTGCACTGTGCAGCAGCAGTGCTGTTGTGGGTTATGGATGCTTTATGCTCTGCTGTCCTCCTTGGTAAAGGCAGCCTAGACACACTAGAGAATCAACGCTGAGGAGTGTCTGTTCCCATGCTAAGAACTCTGCAGATCCTGAATTCTGAATCCCGAAAGTGATTCCCTATTTATTTGCAAGTCTTCCCCCTACCACACCCCTCACCCTCTGTGTCACACACAGACTGAGAACCTCCTGTTTTCCTGGGCAACATACTAATTAAAATGGTTTTGTTTCTGTTCTGGAACTGTAGCCAGATATGAACACGTGAACAGTTTCAGAAGCGTTGCATTTCATTTTGATTTCATGTCCTCCCCAGGGAGAAGAACCACTGGGAGCAATTCACTTGAGAGGCTGCGTGGTGACAGCAGTGGAAGATATGCCAGACAGTAAGGAACCATATCAAATGAGCTGTGTAATAAGTTTTTGGTACATCCTTTCAACCTGCCTGAAATCACAAGTGTTTTTCACTCAAAGGCAATATGTGTACAGTGATTTGGCAATTTTAATAAGTGGTAATTCTAATAACTCTTCTGTCTGAATTACTGGGGTAGGATACTGTGGTAAAGGCAGCAACAGGGAATTTTGTGTTTTGTCAGTTCTTTGGGGAAGGCTTGTCAAAAGGAAGATGCCATCCCTGTGTTAGGATAACTGGCCTTCAGACAAAGTAAGTCAAGCTTGATCATGGGAGGGGAATGTGACTTGTCTGCAGGATTGCAGATCCTTCCATGATTTGAGAACAACTAGCCAGAGACTCCTGAAGTTGAAACGTGCAGAATTTATGGGTGGTTTCTCTGAGACAGAGACCTATCTCTTGGCTCAGTCTTGCAATCTTGGACCCAATCTTTGTGACGGCCTGATCAGGCTCAGCTGCAGAAAGAAAGGAGGTCCCCTTACAGTGTTTAAAGGAGGAAACATTTTAAGTACAAGACTTTATTCTCTCATAGCTGACTAATTTATTTCTTCCTTGTAGCCAAGAAGTATGATGTTGACAACATCCTCTTTGAAATCATCACAGCGAACGAAACCCACTATTATATGCAAGCAGCCTCATCCACAGAGCGTTCAGAGTGGATCAAAGCAATCCAGACAGTTGCTAGGACTGGAAAATGAAGATGACCTGCCAGTGGGAAGACAGACAACTAAAACTGGTTACTCAAAACAGAACAGGAATTTCAGCATTTCAGTGAGAGAAAGCAATATCATCCAGAGAGGTGTTCTAAGGCTTGTGGGTTGGGGGTGAGGACAGGTAGAAATTTTCAATTCTACAGTGGGCACTAACAAACTAACATTTTTCCACTTGTGTTATGGTAATATTTCACTGAATTATAAAATAGAACATTAGTGTGTGCTGCTTAATCAGCCTACCTTGAGAAGGTTGTACTAAGCATCTTTCCCTGCTGCCACAGCTGAGAGTGAGAATTTCACCATTAACAGAGGACAGTCATGTCACTGCCTCTCAGGAGCTCGACTAGTCACCCTCCATTCAGCCTGTATTGTGTTTCAGGATTTTCATGCATTTCAAATGCTTCCTCAGACAAGCTTTACACTTTCTCCCTTACCAGATCTTTTTCCTGCTTGTTCACCTATTCAAGTAATGTCATAGATTAAGGGAAAGAAATCAACTCACTTGGACACCTGATCCACTCCTTTATAATCTGTCAGCATTGAGGGAGGGAAGAATACAAGCAACTATGGAATCACCGTGGGGAAAGCAAGTACAGCCCAATGACAGCAGTATGAGGAAAAGTCTCTTCCCACAATATTTCAAACATGAAGCAAACTCACTTCAACTTCTTTATCACCCAACTTTGCTCTTTGCTAAATTTCTCCACAAGAATCTGCAGTAGGACCAATGTATCCCTTTGTTTAGGTCTGCAAAGCAGTTGCTAAGGTGTCATGTACTGTATTATGCTTGAATTAAGAATCTTCCAGGAAAAGGGAAACAAGCCATGAACTGGTTACTTGAACTGCTGATTGAAGTGGGTTTGACCAGCTTTTTATTTTTTAACCTCCAGCAACATACTCAGTCCTTGATTCTGTACCTTGAGAGGAACCTTGTGCTTGCTGTAACTGAAATCAATGTTATTATTTGACAGGATCAGGTTACCTGATCTATCCTTGTATTTTTGTCTGACTGTATATCAAACAAACTTCTAAGTCTTAAACTCTAAGCAGGAGTTGAAAGTCAAGTTAATGTCAGATTTTGCATGTAGACTGTTCCAAGTGCAACTTCAAAACTTCTAAACCTCCGTTTGCAGACCTAATAAGGTACCTTATCCTTAAAAATTCTTATTTGGATCTCTCCAGTCTAATAATAAACCTGGAGCTAAAGTTTCTCTTCAATTCTGCTTAATCATACCTGTAGCTGAGCTAATGAGCCTGAAGCTCTGTTGCCTTGTGTTATTTATCCCAAAGAAAACACAGCCTTTCAGGGACAGCAGGCTGGGAGACAGTGGATCATCATGTCCATCTAAGACAACCGGTGGAAATCAGCTTCTGGCAGGGATTTCCTGTCGCTTATGCACGTTGACAGGGTGGCTGAAGCCTGGTGTGTCCTTCTGAGGAAGGAAGACTCATGGTGAAAAGATACACTGCTTTTCCTGGCCTGCTTTCTTGATAATTGCTGCTTGTCACTGCCTATTTCTGCTTTCAGAGCTCACTAACCCAAAAATACCCAAGGGCACAGGAAAATAGAAAAAACCCCACCCCTCACAAGCAAACAACAGAAACTTTGTCCAGCTTACCAATGGAAGGATGTGACTGCCACTTTTTAATAAAACTAAAATATTGTAACGGTCTATGGCCTTGTCCTTTTTCCTTGTGCCCTGCCCACCTGCCAGCAGTGTTTTCTCAGGCAGAGGATGCTCATCAGTGTGTTTATGGAAGAGCTCTGATGTTTGTACCAGACTATATTGATAGGGTCTCTAATCTCACAGGGAGTGCTTTTGAACAAAGGTTTGCAGGTGCCTCTGCTTCTTGGCAGCAAGGGGAAGATCTTGGCCATGGGAATTCAGTATTAAAAAGCACCTACAAGTCTGTCAGAGGTGATGAAGCCAGCCTAGTTATTTAGAAGGCATGGAAGGGAAGAGGCACATATCCTGAATACCAGCACAAGAGAAGAGAGAGCAGGCCCAGTGCAAGGAACTACTGATCAAAAGGAGAAAAACAGAAGAGCAGACCTACATGTGTCATGCTTCATCTAACTTTCACCCTCTAACTATTTAAATCACACTTTTACTACACCCTCAGCAATTTTTACAGCAACATCAGTTTCATTTTTACTTTACTTTCATTTTACTTATCATACGAATTAAGACTTTTTTTCATAGAGAACAGCAAAATAAACCATTGTGGATAAGGACTATATTTATAATCTTCCCTTACTGAAAGACTTGTATGATATAATCTACTATAAATATGCTCTTAAGTTAATGTTTGATTTATCACATCTTGGAGGGAGCAGCTTTCCCTCCCCTGGAATATCAACTATGTGCTTACTGCAGTTAGGGTCAGGTTTTTGGGAACCTTTATTAACCACACACCCATAAAAACACCCATGTAGACACAGCACTCCCAATTCCCTGGTTTAAAAGGAAACAGGACAAAGCAAACCACACACACATGCACTGAAAAAATAACAACCACGGGGACTGCAACAGCCCAACAAGCTTTCAGCCACAGGTGTTATTGCTTCTTATAATCCAGCAAACACCACATATGGAGGTAGTTCTGGCTTAATAGTCTCTGGCAGAGGTTTCCAAGAGCTGTGAACTTTCCCTGCCCTGCAGCTTTCTTCTGAAAGGTAAGGCCAGTGTTATTTTGCTGCTAAATGTGGTTATATTAGTGCTGTTCTTTGCAGTGTTCTGTCTTCACTTTCTATTTGAAAGAATAGTTAACAGGGTTAAAGGTCTACTAAAAATATACTTCAGCGATAGAACAGTTTATTGAGTAATAATCAAATTGTGTTCATAAAGAGGAAAAAACTAGTTAGGGTCTCTGAGGTATGATCCAACATTTACTGTCAAACATGTATTTTAGACAAAGTTGTTGTTTTCATTTTTTCTTGCAATATTGCAGATAACTCTTCAATGCAGTAGTATTGCTTCTGTCTTTGACTTAGAGATCACTTTATTACAAATGTTAAATGCTAATTATTTCTTTTTTTCCCCTAATTTGTTCTCAAATACTTGATAAGTTATTTTAAGTTTAAACAACTTGCTCCACAGGGCTCTTGATAAGTGCTTTCATTGTTTGCAATGTGCGTCTATTTGTTCTGAATTCAGGCTTAGGTAGCATTAAAATTCCAGAAAGATTTCCTTAAATAACCTTTTTGGTGGGGGCCTGAAACATTTTAGTTGGGTGGGAGTTTTTTGGGAGGGCAGTGGGGTGAGGATGGGTTGAGGTTTTTTGTTGTTCTTTTTCAGCTTGTGCTTTTTAAAACTGGAGGAGACTACAGGAGGAACTTTAAAAAGCAAAACGAGTAGATAACACTGTTCTGCAGGTTGTTGCTATTTCTGTGGGTGCCTTCAGTTTGTGTTTTGGAAAGTGTACATATTTTTGCTTCTGATCTGTGGTCTTCTCATTGATGTATAGAGATTTTTCTGTGCTCACTGTGAACTCTGACTGAAAACAAGGTTCTTCTTTTGTTGTTACTCATGAAACTTCTTGAAATAGAGCTTCTCGTTTGGCTTCAAAATAAGGTTGGGGTTTTTTTTCTGGATTAGAACACAAACTTCCTGCTTTGCATTTAGAACCAAAACTGTGGCTTTCCACGCTTTGTTTCTGGCTCTTGTAGATTGCTTAATTTTTGTTTCCTCACAGTTTGGTGAAAGGGAGAGTGAGACTGTATGAAAGCTGAGTAAAATGCTGCTTTCTTTTATTTCATTGGACTTCACTGAGCTATAGTAAAACTCTTCACTCCCCTACATAGACTCTGCCTTTCTTTTAAGATGGCAATACCTTTCCTTCTGTTTCATCCACTTGCTAAAAGATGGCTGAGCAGGAAGGAGGAAAAGAATCAAATGATGAAACTGATGGAATTTTGCTTCCAGCAGTTGAAAGGGAGAGAGATTGTTACTGTTTTTTAAAATCTGCATGCAGTGTGTCTTGAATATTGATAAACCAGAGTGATCAAGGGAGAGGAGAAGGAACTGGGGATTGACTAGTGTCATTAAAAACCCCCAAACAACTAGACACCCCAATCTTCCCATGTCCCCAGACTCAGATGTCAAAAGGACATTGAGAACTTTTATAGAGTGTTGCCATTAGCTACTTTCTCTTTATCAAATATTGTAGAACAACCTATTGCAGACTAATAGACTATCAATTATATAAATCAATGTATTATCAGTTTTTTCATGTGTCTTCTTCCACATAAAAAGGAAAAGCATGAAAATCCTTCCTTAAGCACCAAAGCATATCAAAAGAAAAGCAAGAAACCACTGTTGTCCTCCACTGCTTCTGCTATATGTGTATGTAGGTGTCCTGCTTTTGAAGGCTTAAATTGCTGTGTTTCCCAAGTATACAATGGTTAAAGTACAGTAACAAAATCAACATTATGAGGTATTTTTTAATAACAGGAAGAGTTGTTTATATCAGACTTATAACCCCCTTATGCAGGCTTCTGATTAATAAAAGGAACTATTTCATCATTTTGGTATATAAGTTGTAAAATAAGGTTAGTTTGTGGTTTGGGGGTTGTTGGGTTTTTTTTTGTTTGTTTGTTTGTTTGTTTTTTAATTAATATTTTTGCTTAAAAGAAGGCTTTCTTTCCCAAGTTACCTCTTCAATTTCCCCTTTCTCCTCCTTCTGCATGCCGTATTTTCTTTCTTAAAACTAGTTTGACCTAAACATCCTAAAAGAGAGCTTCTGTCTCTGCTTATTAGGCATCATAAAGTGGATCTCAGATAAGTAAACGTAAATGCCTAGTGACGTTTTAGAATGGCTACAACATACTGTGTGATCTTTAGTTACCCCCTTAGAACAGCAAAAACCTGTTCTCATCTCCTCATGCTTACGTGTGGGCTTCCTTTATGTGTATTGGGTGTCGTTGTAATCTCCATATTTGGGCAGTCCCCAGTGTCATTATCTCTAAGTACATATGTTGACGAGTTGCATGTTGGAATGACTTTAAAGGGCAGTCTAATTTAGTGATAAAATACAGACTAGGGTCTTCAAAACTAAAGGTGCATTAGAAAAGCTGATTTAATTTGGTCAGCCACACTAAAGGAAACTTGAGACACATTTCTATTATTGGCTATTCTGTCAAATAGTACATCCTGTACCTGGTGAAATCTAGGTGTTAGGATCTCCTAGCTACATTTGTTCAGTGCTCTTGTTCTCTAGCATTGTGATAGAAAAGTAGTCGAAGCCATTGAAAGTATTCCCTCAATTGAACAGATGAGTAAAGTTCTCATGGAGTACTGTTATATCTCACTTATTAGCTGTAAGATACTGCTGCAAAAAATCATTTTGCCTTTTTAATTTTTTTCTTTTTTTCCCCCTATAACAATTAAAGGCTTAAGGTGGCCGGTTTGTTTGCTGGAAGTTTACTCTCTGTTCCTGACTTGCTCAAAACCTTCAATTCAGTCTTCAAGTTGAATCCTCCCATAGGCAGCTGGCAGCATTTGAGGGTCTTTTGTTTTTTATTTCTGACACCACCAAGATGTTTAAAAGCAATGTTTAGTGCTATGGCTGATACATTATCTCATGGCCACTGGTGTCCTGTGGCATCTGGAGAAGCCTTTGTGTACAGCTTGAAGTGCCTGGTGTCTCAGCAACAAAACAGCCTGTGCAGTTACACTCTGCATTGGCACACAGCAGCTCCTCTGCCTGTTAAGGACAGTGCATCAAAATGAGCATGTGCTGTGCTCACAACGTTTTTAAAGTGGGTAAAAAAAAGCTAATATTGTACCTAATTTGCATGCTCTAGCAGGTTGGTTTTTATTCCCATCTGGCTTTGTAAATCCACGGTTGCTGGACATGGGTGGTGGTGCTGGACAGGGTCATTCTGAGGAGTTAGGGGAGGCTGCAGCTCACTGTGGCCATACATTGAATTGTCCTCTTGGGTTTCATCCTGGTAGATCCTGTGGGATCTCTGAGTTTGCTGACCATCACCCCTCTCCTTCTTCCCTTTCTACCCACAGCTGTAGCTTGGGTTTTTTGGTTTACCAGTATAGCAGAAGTAGGTCTTGCCCTTAGCACTGAGGCCTGAATCTGCCCCCAACCCCCAATTCTGAGTGTTGTGCTGATCAGAAGCTGCTGCTGACTTGTGGTATTAAGTGCAGCAGGTGAATTCTTCTGTGGTTTTTGAGACAGACTTTTCTGAATGAGCGATATGGTGAAAAACAACTGCGAAGTGTCAGCACGCTCTTGGGAATCTGATATGCCTCAACCCAAGTTCATTTGGAGAGAAAATAAAAAACCCTCCCCCACCGCCCAAATCCTCCCAGCTGTATGCTTTTCTTGCCTTCTGTCAGCCCTGGTGAGATGAAGCACCTGATCCCAGTCTTGAGCCCAACTATTCTGTCTTCAGTTGGGATAACTTTGTTACTTGGAACCTTCCAAAGATGACCAGCATAGGGATGTACCTATCTGCATGTATCTGCCTATTGGCACAAACACTTGACAAAATTACCCTTGAAATTTGAGTGGTCTAATGAAGAAAAGTCTGTGGTGATTAAATATCTCATGCTTGCTTTTTCATTTAGTTTTTAATGGCAATGGCCCAAAGCCACATCCTGCACTGTGATGAAATAAAGCCACACTGTGGCTCCTTGTTTCAGAAGTAGAGCACTGCAATACTGAGTAGTTGCAAAGAAGGTTGTAACAAAGGTGGTTTTGGAGATGCAGAAATAAAATACTGACCTCATGTTGAACTTCAGTGCTGGCCTTTTTAACATCCAGCTGCGTGCAGCAGCTCAGGACATTCTGTGCAGCAGGGAAACCTATTTTCCCCACAGAAGCCTGGCTGGTTTAAGCCCATGTTGCAGAGCTGGGGTGTGTGGGAAGAGGACATCTGCTATTTGTTCTGCACCACACAAGCTTCACGTGCTTTCTCCAAAGGGCCTCTCTGTCCTAGGAAAGCTGGGGAAGCAGGAAGGTCGGGTGGCTGATGGGAAGCCTGGGCAATGGATGCCTCAGGGACCTTCCTGCAGCTGACAGGGTCTGAGTGGGAGGGTAGAAGTGGTGTGTCAATGCAGTAGGAAGGTTGGTGGGGTTTGCTAAAGTAGAACTTTCCACTTCCTCAAAAACATGTGGGTAAGAGGTGGGCACTGGAGCAGAAAAAAGGTTTCACCAGCCACCGAGGTGTGAGGGCAGCTGGTGTGTGCCCTGGGGTGCAGGTGGGGTGAGGATGCTCTCCAGGGAAGGATACCCACGTATGAGTGCTAATTTAGGCACTGCTACAATCTTCCTATTGCTGGCATTTCAGTGGTTGGTGTTGGTAGGTAGGAAGGGAAAGAGCTGAGCCCAAACCTGCTGGTGTAGGGAGTGCCATTGTCTGGAGCAATGGATGCTGCTGGGGTGTCTTTAAAGGGAAGAGGACACATCCATCCTGCAGAGAAGCAGAGAGGCTGAGTAGGTGGTGCAGTGGTAGAGAGGAATAGAACAGGTAACCAGAATTGATGTAATAACATCTCCAGGGGGAATTAAAACCCTTAAAGGAAAGAGTCAAGGTGGAGAGGGGAAATAACCTTTGTTTTTATGAGAATTTGTACTTAAACATTTGTGGGTTTTTTTTTCAGTAATAGATTTTCCATGGGAAACTTACAACACTGTTACTGCAGGTTTGAAGATCCAGGCCTTGTCTAATTGCATAGCCAAGTGTTTAATTCCTCATGTTTAAGAGGCACAGCCACCTGATCTGAACAGAGGTAGAGGTACAACAGATACTGCGGGTTCCTACACTCATATGAGAAGGGGGAGAAGCTACAGTTGAGTGCACAGTGAAATAACTGTGGTAGGACTTATGCCAGAGTAATTATTCTATTTAAAAACTGTATCCTGTGGGGCTATATATGAGAACTGACAGCTGAGGAGCATGAAAGGAGCAGGAACAGGGGATAAATGTCTGGGAGTTAGAAACAGAAGGCAACAGAGGAGGCTGGGTGAGAAGGGTGAGGGACTAGATCCATTATTATGCACTTTCCCTATCTTATGACTAAAAAAATTGGGTATTTTGAGGTGTTGAAAATGTACTGCTAGTGTTATTTTCTTTATGAATTCATATGCACTTTTTTCACTTCTAGTGCTCTTAAAGTTGGGGTGATAAATGCTGTGAGCAGGGAGCAAGGCAGCAGCTTTGGTGAAAAACTGATGTGCCTGGGTGTGGGTTTTGGTGTGTTTTTTTTCTTTTTTTTAATTTGAGCTAACTAGATATAACCTTAGAGCAGAATAGCTAATAATAGAGGAAGCAGTGTTGGCAATTCACTGAGCTTTGCATCACACCTATACTTAGCAAGGGTTCTTTCCTGTGAGCTACACCTCAGTCATGTTTGGTAGCAGGGTGACAGCAGAAGCTTCAGTGGATTTTGGGTACTGCATCCATTTTGGCTAATGCAGTAACTGTCCCACAAGAACAGCATCAACTCTTTTGGCACTAAAAGGAGATCTTTAAAACCTAGTGCAATGGGGTCCTGCTCCTAGAACTAACACTTATCTACAAAGAATAGATTGCAAAAGATGTGTAAAAAACATTATCCAGTAGTTGCATCATGTTATGCAGTGCTGTTGATGAGAAACCTCTCACTTAAATATGTTACTTATGATTCAGAAAAGGTACTAGTGCTTATTGACTGAAGACCTGTTCTAATGGGGGAACATGCAGGAAGCTGAGGGACATGGATCAGTTTTGAGGAAATCTGCTGAATGCTCTAAACTAGAAAAAGGATCAGGCAACATTCTGTTCTTGGAAGCATTTTAGAGCTACCTGTTTCACCTGGCTGTTATGTCTTTTGCTTGATCTGTAGATATGAGCACCTAAAACAAACAGCCTGTGAGCCCGGATATTTTCACCAGATATTCTGCAAGGGTTAAATAACCAAGTTTCATAACCATGGTAGAAGTCTTCCTATAGAAAATTGGTGACTGAATTTTGCAGGAATTTGAGCAACAGAGACCTTCCCAGCATTCTCCCCAGTTATTTTAGTGCAAGGAAGGTAGGGAAAGATGATATTCAAAGAGAATTGTAGTAAGTTGAATTTGTGGTCACTTTTATGTTAGATAATGTGACAGGTACATCCTCTTTTACCAGCAGCAGTTTTTCAAGTTGGTGCCAAAAATTGGGGTACAAGTTCAGAGATCCTTTTGAGGACTGTGTCCCTTGAGATGGTCACTGGGAATGTTCAGCTGATACTGAGGTGGCCACCTTGTCATCTTCTTTTCTTTCCAGTGTCTGTATTTGTCCTTCCTTTGTGGGCTCTCATGTGCTGCTGGTAGGATACACTTCAAGTCAAGCATACCTTACCTTTCTTTTTTTAAATAAAAGTCATCTCTTTCAAAAGAAAAAGTGCAAATTGAAATACAATCAACATATTTTTGACAATACAGCAGAGCATTAAATTTATAAATATAAATTACAACTGAACATTAGTCTTATTTAGAATTTTACATAAAATTAATATGATAAAGTGCAAATAAAAAAAAAAGACACCTGTAACTTCTTTTGAGAAACTTTCATCATCAGTTGAAAATCAGTTAAAAATCACTCAAAATCAGTTCGACAACTGCCAAACAGTTTGTGTGTCATTGGCAAAAGGTTTTTGAGTTGCAAGAATCAGCACTGGTTTCTTATCTTTCAAGTTCTGCTTCCAAGATCTCTCCCCATGTGTCGACATCCATGGGATACATGCTTTTCTCTGGCAAGCTGTGCTGTGAAGGAATGTTGCTGTATTTCCCACTCAGCCATTCTTGCTTCACTTTGCTTTTCCAGTAGTTCCTCAATAATGTGATCTGGTGGAAAAACAAATTGCTCAGATCTTGGAAGTGAAACAATTTAAGCAGCATTCAATACAAGTAAGTTTTGCCTTGGAAGAGTAAGGCTAGAAAAAGGATTTGGAATGTGCCTTTGGATCTCTAGACACTAAGCCCAGGAAGGTGTAGTGCTGCCGAGAAGCACACCTTTGTCTCCTTCCAACTTTTCTGTTCAAAGTTGGGTGGAAAATCAATCCCTGCCTCAATTCTTTGATGGTCAAGATGAAAAACCTAAACCAGGAACTCATCTTACTCTTTAAAAGAGACACCTTTCACTTTCTCTTCCTGTTTAGGTTATCTGTGACCTTTAACTCTGGAGGCTGGCTGGATTCTTCTCTTCCGTCAACCTTTTATTGCAAGAAAATTCTGACTTGGTGTGTTTGTTGCTTCTATTTCAAATCCCCTCCAGATAAAACAGACAATCAGTGCAGGGAGTTCCGGAAATTGCTGTGCAAGAGTATCAAGTTCTGTACACCAAAAGGGCAACCACTACCTCACAGTGCAGCAACTCTACTGAAATGTCGGAGCCCAGAACTGTGGTTTCCTTGGTTTCTTTTGCTGCTGCTTCTTTCTCTTTCACCCTTTCACTACCCCCCCACTCTTAAACACACCAGCTCAGTTGAGGGTGGGGGAATCACCTGGCCCAGAGTACCCTGTGGAACCTGTTACCAGATCCTTTCCTGATCTACCTCAGCTTCCAGGCTGGATTCAACAGTGAGAAATCATCCAGTATGTTCTGGAGCTGAACCTGCCCCTAACTCTTCAGACCACCTGTAACTGGGACTGTGTTAGGGGAGACTTTCAAAACAGCCTTTAAAAGCTCCTGCTTGTTTTCTTTTCCATACCCCAAATTTTTTTTCTCCTGGATGCCTGTCGCTCAAGATGTATCGAGGCAGAGCTATCCAGGATGATTTTCCAGGAAGCCATTCGTAACCAGCACCCCTATTCCCACGAAATAAAACCAGAGAGCACACATTGCCTAGTCAGCGTTATGTTATCTTCTCCCTCCCAGCCCTGTCTGCACGGGCTTTGTCCCGTGTTACGGCTTTGCTGGGACGAGGGTCAGCGCTGAGGCTGTGCAGGGCAGGGTGAGGAACAACCGGGATGCGACAGGTGTGGACCTGGGCAAGAAAAAGGACAGCTTGGGCAGGAAAAAGGCCAGCCTGAGTAGAAAAAAAGAATACAGCCTTGCCTTCCTTCTCAGTCCATTTTACCAGCTGTCCGGCTACAGAGCCGCGCTGTCACCACAGCGCTGCCCCCATCACCCTGGGATGGGGCGAGACGCGCCGATGTCATTTCCTTCCACATTCCCACCGCCCACGCTGGAAGCCTCGCCGTGTCCCCGAGGTGGGATTTACCTTCCAGGAGTAGCCGTTCCCGCGCGGTCGCAGTCGATTCTCGCCGGCAGACGGCCCGCCACGGCCAGGCAGTGGTGACCGCCACAGCCGCTCGTTGCCCTCGATGACGCGGTGCCAGCCCTTGACGCCGCGGACGCGTGGCAAAGCTCTCCACGTCAGGCGCCGAAAATCCGGGCAGCTCACCTCGCGGAGGGAGGGGGACACGAAGCTCCCCTGTCCTCCTTCATCCTCCGCGTCCTGCTCCTGCAGCGCTGTCTCGGCCGCCGGCGCTCTCCGCGTCCATCCCCGCGGCCCCGGTGGCGGGGCGGCGTCACCGCGGCCGCCATGTCAGCGGTTTGTGTTGGGGCGGACCGCGGGCGGCAAGCGCCGGGGCTGGGTGTCACTTGCCATTGTCCCTGCGTCCGGGTGCGGAGGGTACTGGATTCGCCTCGTTGGGGGCGAATCTCGCGGTTTCGGCCGCGGAGCCGGGCCTCGCCGCAGTCAGGGTGACGGCCCCGCGTCTAAGGAGGGACGGCGGCGGCTCCTGCCGGGATCGGGATCGGCCCGTCCCATCCCCATCCCATCCTACCCGTACCGGCCCCGCGGGCCGAGGTCGCGGACACCCCTCGCAGGGCCGGGGTAGGTCGGTGTCCGCTGGCGGTTTAGCAGAGGCGGGCCACGCGGCCCCGGGTTCCGGGCCTCGGAGCACGCGGTCCGTGGCGGGGGGCGGTCGGGACCAGCGGAGGGCAGCGGGGATGGCTGGGGGAATGGGGCATCTCTCTTAGGGCGAAGGGATGAGGGAGCTGGGGCTGTTCAGCCTCGAGAAGAGACGGCTGGGAGGGGACCTCATTAATGTGTATAAATAACTGTAAGGGGGGGTGCCAAGAGGATGGAGCCGGGCTCTGCTCGGTGGCGCAGAGCGATAGTACCAAGAGGCAACGGGCAGAAACTGATGCGCAGGAAGTTGCACCTGAGAGTGAGGAAGAACTCACGGTGTGAGTCCGTCTTTACTGTGTGAGTGGAACAGGTTGCCCAGAGAGGTTGTGGAGTCTCCCTCACTGGAGATGTTCCAGAACTGTCTGGATGCAATCCTGTGCCACGTACCCGTCATCTGGGATAACACTGCTTGAGCAGGGGGGTTGGACCAGATGACCCACAGTGGTCACTTCCATCCTGACCCTTTTGGTGATTCTCTGAGCCCCTGGAGAGCCAAAACCTCCCGAGCAGCCCCTGGAGGGGCCTTTTTGGGCAGAGCCTGGCCTGTCTTCTCTTGGCCTCTCAGGCTTCTTTTCATGAGGCAATGAAGAGAAAGTTCAGCTGGTGCCTTCCCTGGAGTACAGAGAGCTGAGGGACAGGTGGCAGTGACTCCCCAGCATGGCTGTGCAGGGAATACAGCAGCAATTAAACTTGTTTTTCCCTAATGCTTTGTGCCAGTGAGTTGAGTAGTGGAAGGGCAAAGTCTTGAAGGAAAAACAATTGCAGTTTGGGTGCATTTTCACAACTTAAAAAGCATTTTGGATGTGGTGGCTCTGAACTGGGCTTTTGAAACCAGCATCCAAGTGGCTGGTGGCACCTGAGAGCTGCAGACTTGTAACCTGTAGTGAGAACTTGCCAGAAGGTACTGGATTAATTGAGCATCTAACCCTGAAAACCAGATCTTAAAATCATTACCTGACATTTAGTGTAGAACCAGAGTTTGGGGAATTGCGCAGATTTACAGTAAAGCAAATTCTGAGCTGTAATTTCAGCTTTCTCAAAGTTTTGTCATGGCAGTGACCAGTGTAAATTCTGCCCTTAAACCCTAAAACACTACAGCAGTGGGGCCAGCAGTGGTTAGAGAGTCTTTTGTTCAAAATTCTTTAGGTGTGAGGGGAAAGAAAAGCATGTTTATTTCCTCTGTAAGTTGGTGTAATAAGATGTTGATGTTCAGTTTCAAAGTGTATTTATTAGTGACAAACATACAGACCAGCTTTTGTGTTTGAGTCAAAAGTGCATGTTTATATTTCTGATGTGTGAGTACCTAAAATATATTTTGCTTTGCCAGAAAAAACTCAAGAAGCTGATGCAGAAGAAGCACCAACTGTTTATGCTGTTGAGATGTCCTGTATTCCGTTGTTAATGGAACCATCACGTTCCAGCTCTGAGGTACAGGGAGCTGCAAAAATGAGAAATTATGATGCTGCCTCTAGACATCTGGTGGGTGCTTAATTTTTTAATGAAATTCATTATTTGTGTGTGTTGAAAATTACAAAGGTGTTGTGCTTTCTATACCCTTTTTTCCCCCCGAGAGGTAAATTACTGCAGTCAAAATTGATTGCTCAAAATCTGTGTGCTGTGCAAGTACATAAATGTGTTACAGGAGTGTTTTGGACTCGGTGCTGGAGCTGAGTACTACAGAACAAAGTCCAGTTCTGGTCTCTGGTCCATATCAGTAACTGTCCCTGAGTACATGTGAAGGCCTGGGGGAATGAATGACTGTTCCAACCAGCCCAAAAGCCTCTGAAAGAGGAGAGAGGAGAGCCTGGAGTTGGACTGTGGATGTCTTGGACTGGCTATAAGTAATACCTGTTTGTAGTGTCCTGGCAACCTGTTTCATTTGGATTGTCAGCTGGGATGGAGTTGTGTTGTCAAGATCCTTACAAACACATGGATAAACAACTCCCCAGTGTTTCCCTGGCTGTCCAGTAAAACAGTTTTCAAAGTGAGCATCTTTTGTCTTTTTTTTTTTTTAAACACTGCCAGGTCCAGTGGCTTTCAGACAGTCTGATAAATAGTGTGGGGAGCTGGTGGGATTTTTCTTAAACACCATCTGTTGTGCATCCAGTGCTAAAGCCACACATTGGCCAGTACTGGGGTACAGCAGGTAACAACTGCACACGACAAATGAAGTGTCAGCCTTTGCTGTAGCTGAGATCCCTGAGGTGGACACTTACTTGTCTGTCAGTAAGTGGAGGTTCAGTGTGATAGTGCTGCTTTCAGTAAATAATGAATGTGACTTTGGTGTATTTACATTGTTTTTGCAGACGGGATTTAGAGTCTGGTTGCGTTCTGGAGAAGGGAATTGCAGGAATGCAAGTAGCATTCCTACCATTCTTAGCAAGACTTTTCTGTTTGTGGGTTTTTTGTTTGTATTATTTGGGGTTTTTTGGACAAAGAGGCATTTGTTAAACCTGCTCTTTCTCTTATGTCTGTGTGTGGAAACTCTAGAGCAAGGTGCTGGTGAAGCTCTTCTATGAAAGTTTCAGTTTGTAGCCTTTTAGATATTTATTCCAAAGGTCTAAGGAGAGGGGATTTTCTGCTGCAAGAGGGTTTCTATAGATTTTGTTTTTCTGAGTAGGAACTATAAAAAAAAAAGTAAGTGGTCACCCAGGCTGCAACTGTCTAGAAACTGTGATCTGGTTTCCTCCCCTCTTTTGTAACTGGATAAAGGTACTAAACAGTACCTTTTAAATATTAAAGGTAAATATTGTTTCAGGTTCCTCTTTCTGACGATAATGACAGTGAACAGTCAAAATCTATTCAAAGAAAGAGAGTGCTTCCATCTTGGATGCTGGAAGGAGATCTCCTGGTGCAGAGGGTGTCTGAGCCCGTAATGACAGCAGGTAGGTTTGCAGTGTGGTACAATTGCATTCCAATATGCATTTCTGTGCTTTGATGTAATTTTCTTCCATTACAACGATGGTGATTGAAAGTGTTAATTTGTTACTTCTCTTTCCATCCTTTGTGCAGGGCAGCTGATGGAGAGTGACTTATGTTGTCTCCTTTGTCATCAGTCCTATGGGTGTGATAGAGCTCTTTATCATCAGTTGATTTTCTTTCTGTTCTTTTTTTTTAATGCCAGATAATAAACTCCCTTTGGACATCTGAGCATCGGATATTCTGTAGCCCTTTCCTATAAAGTTGTCTATTTCATGTGTAAATTCTAGGTAATTTCTGTACTTTTAATTCCAGTCCTTTTCCACACTTAGTGATGTTTTACCCTTCTAAATTTAGATTCTAATTTTACAGATTTTTAAAGTAGGGGTTTTTTTGGGTGGTACTGGGTGTTAGTTTTTTAACTGTGAATGAATCAAACTTGATCATTTAGTCCAAAGTTACTTGCTTGGAGGAGCAGTTGTTCACAGTATAATACTTTCTTAACAACGAGGCTAAAATAGTGTTGCATTCCTTCCTGTTCTTCCAGGAAAAGGAAATTACTGAACTGCTGCTGCTGTGTTCAGTCTGTCAGCAGGACACACAAGGGTGCTGCATTGGCAAAACCTCAAGAAAATTTTATAGCATGTCCAACTTTGGTTCTGGGTGCTTCTTACTTAAGCTGCCATTAGACAAACTTACTTCACGGCATTTATTGCCCTGATGACTTTAACTGGTGGAACTGGAGGACTAAAGAAGTGAGAGAAGAGGAGGAAAATGACTTGGCAAAGCTCCCCTGGCATTTCTGTCCTCCTCTGTGCTGAAGGCAGCACGCTCCACCCACCCTGCTTGTCCTTCAGTGGGGAGGTATGAGATGATTCGGGTGTGAACAGCTGAGTTTCCTTTGTTAATCAGTCCAAAGCTATGAGCTGTGGGTGGTGAGTGTGTGTCCACTCCTCTGTGTGCAGCAGCTCTGCTTTAGTGTCTCTCTCTCCAGCTGCTGTTTCTGCTGAGATGCTGTGGTGGATTTGGTTCTTGATGCCCAAGCAGCCCAACTGGAGTGTTTCATGCAGTGTCTTCTCTCCTGTAGTAAATACAGGTGTCTGTGTGCACTGACCTGGGCAACTGTGGCTTTAAACACCTCAGTCATGTGCCATCCACACCTCTGCCTATTCCTTTCCTCAAAAGCTAGTTTTGAGAAAATTATAAGAAGCAAAAGAAAATTTATGTTTTGATATTTGTTTTTTTCTTTTTTCCCCTGTTCCAAATCTTGACTGTTCCTCACTGGCTTGTTCCTTCAGATGTAAAAATTGCATGTACCAGAGGACTTCAGCTGGTTATGTTGAGTCCTGTACTGGTGTGATTGTTTTCTTATGTTTGTGGTTTCGTTTTGTATTTTTTGAGGAGTGGAGTTTGTTTGGTTCAGTTTTTTTTCTCTACAAGCACTATAACATTTGTTATATGTGTGAATATAATGTTTTTTACAAAGACTGGATGCTGTGATTCTGCTGGTATTGAGATTTGGAGCTGTGTGGGTGAGAGGTATCTGAAGGCCTGACCTTGAGGGAGCTGGGGTTACATGCAAACTCTATTGGAGCTGTTAAAAAAGTTATTAGATGAGGTCTTTCCAGCTTAGAATGGGATGCTTTGATAAAATAGCCAATCTCTTCTGCAAATCAAAAATATTTT